TCATGACTTTGAATACTTCCTTCCAGCCCCTTCTTGCCTGTAAGGTTCCTTTCGAGAAATCATCTGATAGTCTTATGAGAACTCCTTTGTAAGTAACTCTCTCCTTTTCTCTTGCTGTTTTTAAGATTTTCTCCTTATCTTTAATCTTGGATAATGTAAGTATGATGTTCCTTGGTGTGTTCTTCCTTGGATCTAACTTCTTTGGGGCTTTCTGAACTTCCTGGAAGTCTTATTTCCTTCTCCAGATTGGGGAAGTTCTCCTTCATTATTCTTTCCAAATAAGTTTTCAATTTCTTGCTCTTTTCTCTTTCTGGCACCCCTATGATTAAAGTTGTCCCAGAGGTTCCTAAGCCTTTCCTCATGTTTTTGTATTCTTGTTTCTTCATTTTGTTCTGGTTGAATGTTGATTTCTTCCTTCTGCTCCAAATCGTTGATTTGAGTCTTGGTTTCCTTCCCTTCACTGTTGGTTCCCTGTATATTTTTCTTTATTTCACTTCACATAGCCTTCACTTTTCCCCCCATTTTGCAACCATACTCAACCATTTCTGTGACAATCCTGATTACCACCGTTTTGAACTCTGCATCTGATAGGTTGCTTATCTGTTCATCGCTTAGTTCTGTTTTTGGAGCTTTGCTCTGTCCTTTCATTTGGGCCACATTTCTTTGTCTCGGTGCACCTCTTATGTTGGGAGGGGCAGAACCTTAGGTATTCGTCAGGGCGGGGCAGCCCACTTTGCTGCATGTGGCACTGTATGTGGGGGAGGGGTCAGAGAGGGAACAATGCCACTTGCTTGCTCAGCTCTTGCTTTTAGTTACTTCCCACAAGCAAAGTGGGCCCTTCCGGTGCTGATCCCTGGGTGGGTGGGTTTGGGTATGTCTGGGATCCTATGTGTCTCACCAGCAAACTCTCCTGTGAGGCTGGGAGTTTCTCCTGCTGCTGCAACCTTCACAGATTTTTACAGCCAGAGGTTTTGAGACGTGCTTTTCCCATGCTGGAACCCTGGGTTGTGCAGTCTGTCACAGCCCCAAGTTGTTCCTTATGGTTTATCTGCATGGAAATATGGGAACACCAGCCACCACCTCGCCTGCTTGGTCTGCCTGCCTGGCTCGAGCTGCTGCTTTGCCACGTGCCCTCTCCACCCCAGCTGCCCGTCTCCACCCCGCCTACCAGTCTGGATGAATGTTTCTTTAACTCCTTGGTTGTCAGACTTCCATACAGTTTGATATTCTCGCAGTTCTGGTTGTTTTTTGTTTTTAAATTTGTTGTTGTCCTTCTTTTGGTTGTGCGAGGAGGCAAAGTCTATCTACCTACACCTACCTTCAGCCTGCGCCTCCTGGGTCAGGTCCACCATGCCACGGGGCATGGCGGTCTCCTCCCGGGTTGGGAGACCCTTCTTGCTGAACAGCAGGGGCAGCTCCCCACCATGGACACCGACTCCTGGGCTGGGCCTTCCCGAGAGGATCCTTTGGTGGGGGTGCCAGAGGAGTGGCTGCCTGGAGTCCTGGAGGAGGGCACCTGGGAGTGGAGGGTGCCCCTGGCACAGGCAGGTAGAAGCCGTCTTTCTGGGTATGGAAAATGCTGGGCTGACCCAGCTGGCTGAGGAGGGGGCTGGCTCCAAGTGGTTCGAGTAGAGGTAGGATGGGTGCATCCTACTGGGCAGGTGGAAGACGCCTTCATGGGCATGGGTGGCCCACAGCTTCACCATGGGCAGGCTGCTGGAAGCTGGGGAGTGGAAGGAGAGGTCAGAGGGCAGGAGCACTGGACTGCCATGGAAGGAGGCCTGTGGTCCCGCCCCACTGGCCACAAAGCTGACCAAGAAGGCCTCACCCTGCACAATCTTGGTGCTATGGCTTGGCCATGGGACCTGTGGCTGCTGCCACTGACCCCATACTCTCATCAGTGTGGCAGAGGTGGCTGAGTGACTAGAAATGCAGAGGTTCCTCCAAGCCAAGCGGACACCCAGGAGCTCCAATTTTTTAAATGTATTGATTTTAGAGAGAGAGGAAGGTAGATAGAGAGAGAGAAACATTGATTTGTTGTCTCACTTATTTCTGCATTAATTGGTTGATTCTCATTATGTGCCCTGACCAGGGATCGAACCTGAATACCTGGCATATCAGGGTGACACTTTAACCAAGTGAGCTACCTGACCAGGGCATAAATTAAGGGTTTACTTCTGGACTTTCAATTCTATTTCATTCTATGTCTATCTTTATGCCAGTACTACACTGTATTGCTTATCTTTGTAGTAAGTTTTGAAATCAAAAAATGTAAGTCCTCTGACCTTCTTCCTTTTCAGGTTGTTTTGGCTATTCTGGGTCCTTTGCATTTCCATATACATTTTAGGATCCGTTTGCTGATTTTTGCAAAAAAATAAAAGCAGCAGGGATTTTTGATAGGGATTGTGTTGAATCTATAGACCAATTTGGGGAGTATTGCACTCTTAATATTTACTCTTCTGACCTACACGAATATGTGTTGTCTTCCTGTTTGTTTAGGAGGTGTTTAATTTATTTCAGCAATGTTTTATAGTTTCCAGTGTACAAGTTTTGCACCTATTTTGTTCAAATTTATTCTTAAGTATTTTATTCTTTTTAATGCTATTGTGAATTCATTTTCTTAATTTCACTTTTCAAACTGTTCATTACTAGTGTATAGAAGTTCAGTTGATTTGTGTACGTTGATTTTGTGAATTTGCTGGACTCATTTTTTTCTAGTTGATTTTTTAGTGGATTTATTAGGATTTTCTATATACAAGATTATGTCATTAGTGAACAAGACAGTTTTACTTCTTCCTTTCCAATCTGGGTCCCTTTTATATGTTTGTTGCCTACTGATCAATGTTTCTCTCACACATCGATGTTTCTCTCTCTCCCTTCCCCCATCTGTAGAAATAAATAAATAAAATCTTTTAAAAATGTATATATTTATATGTTTGTTGCCCAATGACCTTGGCCAGACCTCTCCATACAACAATGAATAGAAGCAGTAAGCATGTACATCCTTGACTTGTTCCTGATTTTAGGGCAGAAGAATTTGGTTTTTCAGCATAAAATACTGTGTTAGTTGTAGGGTTTTCACAGATGCTCTTTTTCATAATAAGCAAGTAACTGCATATTCTTGGCTTGCTGAAGATTTTGTCTCATGAATGGGTAGATATTATCTTTATCCCTATTTTACAGACAAGGAAATTAGCATTCCATTCACAGGTGATCTAACTCCAAAGACCAAGACCTTAGTAACTGTGCTATCTCTATAGCACATTCTTCTATTTAATGATTTTCCTTCAGTCTCCTCCTGTAGATTTTTTCCTTCTGCTCACTTTGTTAAGGTTAATGTTCTTCAGGATTCTCAGCCCTTTGCACTTGCCATTCTCTCCTGAGGTAAGAGAATGGCTTCAACCATCACCTCGAAGCTGATGACTGAAAATATCTGTATCTCCAGCCCACCCTGAGCTCTAGTATACCCTAATGCTTTCAAGTCTTTCCCACTTACGTTATCTAAGAAATCTCAAACCCATCATATTCCTAAAGGGTCCCATTATTCCCTTTTCCTCTCAAGTGGTTTCTTTTGTCTGTATTTGCAGTATAGTATGCTTCTTCCATTCATCCTATGCAATCCTGAAACCTGGGAGTGATCTACATGCCTCCTCTTTGCTGATCACTTGGGAAATCTGCTTATTTTAACCTACAAAGTATCTTCGTGATCTGTTCATTTTTCTTCATCCCCACTGCTACTACCCAGACGACGATTATTTCTCACTCCTGCCTCAAGGCTTGCCCCATCAAATTCAGCCTCCACGTTACCAAAAGAGTGATCTCTCTAAGTCACAGATCCTCTGATAGTTACACCCTTCCAAGTTTACCCATCATCACAGCATTGCAAACAAGGTCTTTACCCCTCAGTTACATTTCGTATACTTCCACCAAATACTAAACTCATTAAATGCACGTTAAGATAACAATTTTAACAGCTGCGTAATACTTCCAGCACCTGGAGGCAGAAATTATTTGACAGCTTCTACATGTACATTCTTTTGCATATCATGTTGTCTCATACCTCAGTGCTTTTTTGTATATACTCATACTGTTGTCTTTGTGAGGTTCTTTCTTCTTCCACAACACCCCCTGTACTCCTTTTCATCCTGAAAAACTAAAGTCACTAGCCCATCCTATCTGGAAATTTCTCTAACTCTTAACAGATTTTATTATGCTTTCCTCTCTTATTTTTCCAGAACAATGTAAATGCCCATAATATTACATGTATTTTAATTATTTGTCATGTTTTTACCCTCACTCGAAGTTCCTTGAGGTCAGCAGTCATGTTAGATTCATCTTGAAAACCCTCACAACACCCAGCATATAGACAGTGATGTTGAGTCATATAAATTCTTATATATTTTGGAGATTAAACTCTTGTCCAATGTATCATTGGCAAATATGTTCTCCCATAAAGTCGGTTCCCTTTTCAATTTGACAATGGTTTCTTCAGTGGTGCAGAAGCTTTTTGATTTCATGTAGTCCCATTCGTTTCTCTTTCCTTTTATTTCCCTTGCCCTAGGAGATATATTGGCAAACATATTGCTATGTGGGATAGCTGAAATTTTATCGCCTGTGTTTTCTGCTAGGAATTTTATGGTATCATGAGTTATATTTAAGTCTTTTATCCATTTTGAGTTTATCCTGGTGTATGATGTAAGTTGGTGGTCTAGTTTCACTTTTTTCCAGGTACCAGCCTAGTTCTCCTGACACCATTTATTGAAGAGGCTATTTTTACTCCATTGTATGCTCATGCCCTCTTTCTCAAATATTAATTGACCATAGACACATGGGTTTATTTCTGGGCTTTCTGTTCTGTTCCATTGATCGATGTGCCTGTTCTTATGCCAGTAACAGGCTCTTTTGATTACAGTGACCTTGTAGTATAGCTTGATATCGGTATTATGATCCCTCCAACTTTGTTCTTCTTTCTTAAGATTGCTGTGGCTATTTGGGGTCTTAAAAACATGAAATGCTTCGCCAATTTGCATGTCATCCTTGTTCAGGGACAGTGCTGATCTTCTCTGTGTTGTTCCAATTTTAATATGTGTGCTGCTGAAGTGAGCACGTATTATCCATATTTTTATCTTATTTTCTTCTTTTCTTTAAAGAAGACCCTTTAATATTTTATTTTATGTATTACTGGTTTGGTAGTGATGCACTCCTTTAACTTTTTCTTCTATGGGAAGTTCTTTGTATGTACTTCAGTTTTAAATGATAGTTTTGCTGCATAGACTAATCTTGGTTGTAGACCCTTCCTTTTTATCACTTTGAATATTTCTTTTCAATACCTCTGACCTCAAATTTTCTCTTGAGAAATCAGTTGACCATCTTTTGGGAACTCCCTTGTAGGTAACTAACTGCTTTTCTCTTGCTGCTTTTAATATTCTCTCTTTGTCTTTAATCTTTGGCATTTTAATCATGATGTGTCTTGGTGTGGGCCTCCTTGGGTTCCTCTTCATTGGGACTTTCTGCACTTGCTGGACTTGCATGTCTATTTTCCTTCACCAGATTAAGGAACTTTTCCATCACTATTTCTTCAAATAAGTTTTCAGTTCCTCTCTTTCTCTCTCTTTCCTTCCAGCACCCACATGATCTGAAACTTGGTACTCTTGAAGTTTTCACAGAGGCTCTTTAAAGTATCCTCCTCTCTTGGATTCTTTTTTCTTTTTTCCTTTAATTTTCAATTTTATAATTTTTAAAAAATTTGTTGTTCAGTTAAAGTTGTCCTGCCTTTTCCCCATGGTTCTCCCCTACCCCATCATCCCCACTCCCACAGTCAATCTCCCCTGTTCTCTGTACCCATGAGTCCTCTACTTGTGTTTCTTTTCTTCCCCTCCCCCTTCTTTCCCCTATTATCCTCCTCCCTCCTCCCCTCTGGTCACTGTCAGTTTGTTCTTTATTTCCAAGTGTCTAGTTCTGTTTTGCTCATTTGTTTGTTTTGTTGGTTAGGTTCCACTTATAGGTGAGATCCTATGGTATTTGTCTTTCACTGCCTGGCTATTTCACTTAGCATAATGCTCTCCAGTTCCATTCATGCTGTTGCAAAGGGTAGGAGCTCCTTCTTTCTTTCTGCTGTGCAGTATTCCATTGTGTAAAATGTACCATAGTTTTTGATCCACACATTTACTGATGGACACTTAGGTTGCTTCCAACACTTGTTATAAATTGCACTGCTGTGAACATTGGGGTCCATAGGTTCTTTTGGATTGGTGATTCAGGATTCTTAGGGTATAATCCCAGCAGTGGTATCGCTGGATCAAAAGGCAGTTCCATCTTTAGTTTTTGGAAATTCCAGACTGTTTTCCACAGTGGCTGCACCAGTCTGCATTACCACCAACAGTGTACTACGGTTTCCTTTTTTCCACAGTCTTGCCAGCACTTATTGTTCGTTGATTTGTTTATCATGGCCATGCTGACCCGTGTGAGGTGGTTTCTCATTGTGGTTTTAATTTGCATCTCTCTGATGGCTGGTGATGCTGAGCATCCTTTCATATGTCTCTGGGCCCTCTCAATGCCCTCCCTGGAGAACTGTCTATTCGGGTCCTTTGCCCAATTGGATTGTTTGTCTTCCTGGTGTGGAGGTGTGTGGTTTCTTTATAAATTTTGGAGATCAAATCATAGTTCAAGGTGTCATTGGCAAATATGTTTTTCCATACAGTTGCTTCCCTTTCCATTTTGTTGATGTTTTCTTTAGCCCTGCAGAAGCTTTCTAGTTTGTTGTAGTCCCACTTGTTCATTCTTTCCTTCATATCCCTGGTCCTAGGGGAAATATTGAAAGTATTGCTGCGTGGCATATCTGAAATTTTACTGCTTTTGTTTTCCTCTAGGAGTTATATGATGTCACAACTCATATTTAAGTCTTTTCTCCATCTTGAGGTTTTTTTGTGTGTATGATGTAAGTTGGTGGTCAATTTTCATTTTTTTGCATATAGCTGTCCAGATCTCCCAACACCATTTGTTGAAGAGGCTATTTTTACTCCATCTTAAGCTTCTGCTCCCTTTGTCAAATATTAATTCACCATAAAGGCATGGGTTTATTTCTGGGCTCTCTATTCTGTTCCATTGATCTATGTGTCTGCCTTTATCTCAGTACCAGATTGTTTTGATTACAAAAGCCTTGTAAGATAGTTTAATATCAGGTATTGTGATCCTTCCTACTTGGTTTCTTTCTCAAAATTGCTGCAGCTATTCAGGGTCATTTATGGTTCCATATAAATTTTTGAAATGTTTGTTCTATATCTGTGAAACATGTCATTGGTATTGTAATAAAGATTGCACTGAATCTATAAATTGCTTTAGGTAGTATGGACATTTTGAGGATGTTGATTCTTCCAATTTGTGAACATATAGATGCTTCCATTTATTTGTGTCTTTCTTAATTTCTTTCTTTGGTGTGGTGTAGTTTTCTGAGTACAGGTCTTTTACCTCCTTGGTTAGGTTTATTCCTAGATATTTTATTTTTCTTGTTGCCATAGCAAATGAGTTTTTTTCCATGATTTCTGCTTTTGATATTTCACTGTCAATGTACAAAAATGCCTTCATTTTCTGAACATCGACTTTGTGTCCCACTGCTTTGCCAAATTCACTGAGAAGGTGGAGTAGTTTTGTGGTGGAGTATATAGGGTTTTTTATCTACACCATCATGTCGTCTGCAAACAATGACAGTTTTACTTCTATCTTTCCAATTTGGGTGCCTTTTATTTCTTTTTCTTGTCTGATGGCATGGCTAGGACTTCCATAACTATGTTGAATAGAAGTGGTGAAAGCGGTCTTGTTCCTGATCTTAGCAGGAAAACATTTAGTTTTTGCCCATTGAGTATGATGTTGGCTGTCAGTTTCTTGTATATGGTCTTTATTATTTTGAGGTATGCTCCCTCTACTCTCACTTTACTGTGTGTTTTTAATCATAATTGGGTGCTGCACTTTATCAATGCCTTTTCCATGTCTATTGATACAATCAGGTGATTTTTGTCTTTCCTATTGTTTACGTGATGTATTACGTTAATTTATTTGCAAATATTGTACCATCCTTGCATCCCTGGGATGAATCTCAGTTGATCATGGTGTATGATGTGTTTAATGTTTTGCTGGATCTGCTTTGCCAATATTTTGTTGAGGATTTTAGCATCTATGTTCATCAGCGATATTGGCCTGTAGTTTTCTTTCTTTGTTGTGTCCTGATTTGGTTTTGGGATTAAGATGATGCTGGCCTCATAAAAAGCATTTGGGAGTCTTCCCTCTTCTTGGATTTTTTGGAATAGTTTGAGGAGAATTGGGATTAGCTCTTCTCTAAATGTTCAGTAAAATTTTCCTATGGGATTCTTTTTCCTTTTTGCTATTCCAGTTCGGTGTTTTCTGCTTCCCTATCATTCAAATTGCTGATCTGACCCTCTTCTTCATTTACTATAATATATTCTTCATTTCAGTTCATGTGTTCTTCATTTCTGACTGTTTTTTTAAATGATTGCTAGTTCTGTTTTTATGTTTCCTATCTCTTTGTTAAAGTTCTCAGTAAGTTCATCTACTCTTTCCCTAAGGACATTGAGCATCCTTATAACCAGTGTTTTGAACACTGTATTTGGTAGATTGTTTATCTCCATTTTGTTTAATTCTTTTTCAGGAGTTTTGTTCTGTTCTTTCATTTGGGACATACTTATTTGTCTCCTTATTTTGGCAGCATCTCCGTGTTTGTTTGTGTGTATTAGGTAGCGCTGCTACATTCCCTGGGCTTGGTAGAGTGGCCTTAGGTAGTAGATGTTCTGTAGGGTCCTGTGGCACAGCCTCCTCAATCACCCAAGCTGGGCACTCCAAGTGTACCCACCCACCCATCCACGTGACCTGTGTACACACTGCTGTTGTAGTTGAGACTTGATTGCTGTTGGCATGTCAATGGGAGGGATTTACCTCCAGACCAGTGTACTGCAAGGACTGGCTACAACCACCATGGGGGATCAGTTGCGCAGGGGCCTGCCCAGCGGAGCAGCGGGGCTCTGGTGCCTGCTGAGTCAGCCCCCTTAGTATTTTACTTTTGGAGGTTGTTGAGTGGTGCTTCCATGGGGTCTGTAGCTGTCCACTGGGTGCGCTGGTTCTAGGGTCTCCTGGGAGATGCAGGCCAAGATCAGCCACCCTCTGCGTTCTGCCCAGGGCCACCTGGCCTGAGCTAAAAAGCAATCTGCAGATGGCTGTTACTTGTACTGGGCTTGGAGGTGCCCAGGAGAGGCCAAGCTATGAACCAAGGCTGGCTGCTGCTAATGCTGGGCCTGGGGCCACTTAGCAAGAGTAAAGAGATGCACTGAGGCCAGGTGCTGCCTGTTTGAGAGATTTTAGGAAAGTCAGAAGCATGAGCCAAGACAGGCTTTTCATATGGAAAAGCCACTGGAAACAGCTTGGGTAGGCCCACAAGTTGAGTGGGACAGGGTCTCAGGGAATCACCAGGACAGGGTCAGTGTTAGTCAAGTTGATGAAGACTCAGGTACGGCACCCGCCTGCTGGCTCTGTGGTGGGAGAGGGCTCAGAAAAGAAGCAATGGCCTCTGCCAGCACTTCTGTCTGGGAGAAAACTGCCCCTTCAGCTCTCGCCCTGATGCCAGACACTTCAGTTCTTCCCTGCACATCCCTGGTGCCTTCGGAGCTGCTGCCCCAGTGCTGGAGTTCAGAGTGAATGAGTCTGATTAAGTCCATACATGAGCCCTTAAAAGGAACACCTGGGACTCGAGGAGCCCTCTGTCTCACTCAGCCACAATCCCCGCTGCTTTTTACAACTAGAAGTTATGGGGACTTCTCTGGAACTCTGGAACTCTGGTCTCCTTACCCATCAGGGCATACCTCCCTGCTGAGATAACCCTCCCTGCTGAGATATCCCTCCTGAATTTTTAAAGAGATTGTATTTATTGTATTTTGTTAAAGAGGGGAGAAGGGAGAGAGAAAGAGAGGGAGAAAAGGATCCGTGTGTGAGATAAACATCAGTCAGTTGCCTGTCACATGCCCCCAACCAGGCATAGGCCCTGACTGGGGATTGAACAGTGACCTTTAGGTTTTGGGGACAAAGCCCAACCCACTGAACCAC